ATATAATATTTTTTAAATTTCAATTAATAATTAATAAAATTTATCATATTTCATCAAAATACATTTAAAAAATAAATAACTAAATACCAAAAAAACTTTTAATTACAGTTACAGTGTAATACAATTAAATACAGCACAGCTATAGATATAATTACAACACCTCATAAAACAAGAATTTTTAGATAAAAAAGACTCCTTATATCAAAAAACTCTCTTTTATTTAAAAATTAGTATTTTACTGTTTAAATTATAAAATATTAGTTTGATTATAAATACTTCTTTCTTAAAATGTAAGTAGTAGGTTATTTTTACATAATTTTAGGTAACATTTTAAAAGAAAAGTAAAAATGAAGACATTCTAACACTTTAAATATAAGGATTTTTTATAAAATTATTTAAATACTTTTAATCAATTTTTTATTTATTAATTTATTGAGAATACTTTATAGTTTTTTATTATTATTTTGACATTTTAATTAAAATGTCTTTTTTTTTCAATCTCATATTTTTATAATATATGAATGATAATTAAAAAAAATTTTAATTAAATGAAATTACTCAATAAAGATAACATCTAAGAAAAATAAAATCTTAATTATTATTTATATATTATAAAAAAATTAACAGTTAATTATTAGATATTGAGTATTATTGCTTGTATTTCAACAGTTTTTTTTTATTGGCAGGAAATTGTATTTTAACCGTTAATTCAAACATTTTTAAGAAGATTTTTATTTTCCAACTAAGAGGAGATTTGAGATGAAGGCTAAAACAATGGTGGAGATTTTGAGATGGTTTTTAACAGTTTCAATGCAGTATCATGCAGTTAGATGAGGAGTGGGAAGTTACCATCATTTGCCCCCTTTTGTCGAGAACCTTATAAGTCGAACTTGAGATTTATTTATTTATTTATTTTTAATCTTCAAATTTAAAATATGGGATGCACATAGATTTTAAATCTTTTTGCTCGTTGGTATTTTTTAATGTGATACCATTATAAAATTAATTACGTCACAAATATAAACAATATGCTTCAATTGAAGTTAAATAATATCCGCACACAAGAAAAAAGAAGACTGGGGAATCCAAAAAAAGAAAAATGAAGACTGTACGTTAAATGTTTAACTTAAATAGTCCTAAAAGAGTTTATATATTTTTTAACTATTTACATAATTTAATGATAATTTTTTAATATAAATAATAAATTTTAAATTTAAATAACATGATATATTGGTGAAAGCAAGTTCATATATTGGGAAAAAATTCGAATCCAAATTCGCTGTATTAATTTAATGTACAAATTTGTATATCATGTCATGTCCTTTTTATTGAGGTCCCATGACCCACTAACTTTAAATAACAGTTTATAGTATAGTTATACCCAGGTGATGCACTAACTTTAAATAATAGTTTGTAGTATAGTTATACCCAGGTGATGCACCAAAATTAGACAGTTGAGGGCTTTCATTTTTTTCCAACACCGAACTAATGTTCTAATATACAAATGGAAAACATTTTTAAAAGTGAATACATATCAATTTATCAGTAAACCCCAAATATACGAATCACTTACTATAGACATAATAACATGTCATTATTGTAGTTAGAGTTGAGCATTTTCATGTGCAAGTCCGGTGTGAGATATATTTAATACTTGAAAATTTTTTTGTATGGCTTTTTGGAGTTAACACTTATCTATATACTTGAAAACTTATATTTGGTACTTAACTAAACAAGTACCAGCTAACTTGAGAGTATATACTTTTATATTTGTTGAATAATATTTTGCATTAAAATTTTTTTAAAATTAAAATTTGATAAAATATTATTTACTTTTAATTAAAACTTAAATGAAACTAGTAAAATTTTAATAAAATATTATTTATTATAATTTAAACTTAAATATAATCTAAAATAACAATAGAAAATTAAAATTTGGTTTCATATCCCAAACTCAAATCTATGTACCATTAACAAACTAAACTCAATTAAATAATTAACAATAAAGAATGAAAAATATGTGCCAAAAAATAAACAATAAAAATAAATTAAATAACAAAATAAAAATCCTTCAAAGAAGATGTCTAAGTTTTGGGTTCTCAGTCCCCTAATTCTCAACTTCGGTTTGTTAGAAAAGAATAATGGTTGATAATATTATATCTATTTTAATATCTTAATATTTATGCTTTTGATTTACGATTCTTTAAATTTAGAGTTTAAAGCTAAAAAATCATCTATACAATAAATAAAGATTATAACTCAAAAATCACTAATAGAAAAGTAAAAAGAAAATATTAAAAAATCAAAATTTAAAGTTATAAGTACTCATCATTGTCTAAAAGTACAAGGGAAAAAGTTGTTAGCAACATATGTGATATGTATTTAATTTAGAATTTGTTATTTATAAGTTGTGTGTGGGATTTCTTTTTTTTTTTTTCGTTAAACTATCATTATTATATAGATAGTAAGTATAATAAGTATATATAAAATTTTAATTATATGAGTACAAATAACATGTCAATTAAACAAAATGGTTAAACAAGTCGAATAAACAACTCTGAACCCTTATACTTGTTACTTGACTTAATACATACAAATATATTATTTTTATACCCATGACTTACCTAATATATTTACCCAAACAAATGATAGGTATATTCGTTCCCAATTCTCACCCCTAATTGTAGGATTGTATAGTATATTTTGAGGAAAAAAATACTCCCTCTATTTTTATTTATCTATTCACTTTAACTTTTGTGTACATAATTGTCTTTAAGTAATGTTTGTATATAACACCTGAATTACAAATGAAAAACATGATGAAATCAAACTATTCAACAAATAATTAATATGTTTTTGCAAAGGAGGTTTTCCATGGAAAAAGGGAAAATTATTTTGAATGTCAGGATAACTAATTATCATTATTAAATATGTGGGACATTGTAAGGCTTAATTTTATTAAATTCATTATGTAATTATTATTAAATGTTTTAACATTTTAAATACCAAAACATCTTAGTTTTTTTTTTTTTAATTATCACTTATATGTTAGATAAAAGTATCACTTAGAGTGACTGTGTGATAGAATTCCACAATAATGGCAAATTAGTTAAAGGGAGCAATGCTTCATTCATAGCCTTGATTCCAAAATAGGAGAACCCTCAAAATCTGGGAGAGTACAAGCCAATCTCACTTGTTGGTTGTATTTACAAAATCATTGCAAAGATTTTGGCAAATAGATTAAAGAAAGTTACGGATTCCCTAGTAGGGCCTCACCAATCTACTTTCATCGAAGGTAGACAAATTACAGATGGCATTATCATCCTCAATGAGATGTTGCATGAAGCCAAGAGCAGCAAAAAGCCAATTCTAATCTTCAAAGTAGACTTTGAGAAGGCATATGATAGTGTAAACTGGAACTTCCTCAACAATATGATGGGCAAATTTAGATTTTGTCATAAATGGTGCTTTTGGATTCAGGAATGTATATCATCAGCCACGATTTCAATCTTGGTTAATGGTAGCCCTACTAAAGAGTTCCAGATGGAGAAGGGACTTCGACAGGGGGATCCTTTGGCCCCATTCTTATTCCTCATGATAGCAAAAGCTTTAAATGGGATTATGAAGAAGGCAGTGAACGATAATATGTTCCAAGGAATCGAGATTGGGAAGAGAGGCCTTAAACTTTGACACCTCCAATTTGCTGATGATTCCATCTTCTTTTGTGAAGCAACAGAGCAGAATGTGATGGTTCTAAAAAGTGTCTTAAAATGCTTTAAGTTTGTATCTGGCTTGAAAGTTAATTTTTTCAAGAGCTCCCTAATAGGATTAATGTGGAGAAGAATGCCATGGAAATATTTGCAGACAAGCTGAATTGTGCTATCGGTCAGACCCCCTTTAAATATCTGGGGGTGTTGGTTGGCTCAAATCCGAAAAAACTATCCACATGGACCCCAGTGATTGATATGATGAGAAAGAGGCTATCTATTGGAAAAGGGATACGTTGTCTTTTAGTGGACGCATAATTCT